TCAAACTTTTAATCAAATAGAAAAATGAATGATTTATGTATTTACTTAGATAAAGAAATTAGTAAATAGAACAAAAATTGTTTATCCTAATTGTTAGATATTTATGCTGTATACTTCATATAATTTCATTAATATATATGTAAATTTTATCATAGTAGATAGTAGATATCTTAATAAATTTAATATTTTATTTATGGAACTTTGATTTTATTTAAAATGATTAAGTACAAATAATGCTATATAAATAACCCCATCAACCATTGAGATTCAACTAATATTAAAAAATATATCATTTGTATTTTAATTTAATAAAACTGTTATTTTCTTAATCTATAAATTTTTTAGGAGAATTATTTTTAGATATATCTATATATTGTTATTAAAGAATAATTGAGTCTAAAAATAATTTCAAAGAAATATTTAATATTTATATAATGAATTGTCATAGTGATATAGGTTTTGCATTAAATTAAACTTTGGAAAATATAGATCTTAAACTCTTAGATGAAAGAATTTATAAATTAAAGGGAAAATATTGTTTCTTAGGGATTTAATATGATACTGAGTTCTTTATTTTTTAGAAAAACGGAAGACTAATGTATATAAAAAATGGAGTTATTCTAAGGATGTAAATATTTATAATACATCCATTTATAGAGATTCATTCAATTATATCACTAATATAATTTTTGACCTTGAATAGGTCAAATATTTATCATGGGAAGGAGAAAAAGGAAATTCGGGATAATTTATAGGACAATGGAAGGCAAAATGGAATGGTATAAATCTAAATATTGGTGGATAATATAATGAATGTGGAATTAAAATAGGAAAGTGGTCAGAATTAGGAAATCATACTTATGAGTAACTATGAACTATTATTCTAAAGTGATGATTATCTACTTCATGTAGGAGAGTATAAAATGGGTAGAAAATAAAGCTTATGGGAAACAATATACAATGATAAGATAATGTATTTATAAATTAACTTTAAGTGGATTTGGTATTTATAATTAATTAGGTATAAAATGTGGGAAATGGTAGGAACCAATATAAAGTTATTCTGGGTAGAAATATATATATATATAATAAAGGATAAACAATGTCATTTGGATTGGAAATTATAATGATGAAATCAAAGTGGGTAAATGGGATGCAATACATAAAAAAAGTTATTATAATACAGAATTTATGTCTCTGTAAATATGATTCTTAAAAGTTTAGAGGAGGTGGAAATTATACTAATAATGGAGCAAAGGATGGATATTGGATTGATTTTGATGACACAAACTAACAGTACAAAATCATTTGAATTTTATAGTGGATTATTTGCATTGAAGATTGGTTAATATTTAAATGGAGCCAAGATTGGAAAATGGGTAATAAAATACTTAGATGAAATCATGTATTTTAAATACTAATTTAAGTGGAGGAGGACATTATGATTAATAAGGATATAATATTGGTTAATGGATTGAGGTACATGAAAAATTTAATTGGTAAATTATTAAATATATTTATTATTCACTGTTATATTACTTTTCATGGATGTTATTAAAATGGGTACAGGTATGGAAATTGGAAATATTTTTATTACATGACAACATTAATGTATGAAAATTAGATATCTAAAGGGGATGTGGTCATTTTGATGAAAATGGAATTAAATAAGGAAAATGGATAGAATTA